GGACTTGGGAATGCCGTGGAGCTTGACAACGTTGTCCCAGAACACGCGGGCCACCTGTGTTGCCGTGAACGGGTGCCATGAGGGCACGAAGTGAGCGAACTTGGTGAAACGGTCAACCACCACCATGATTGTATCGTAGCCTTCTGACGTTGGCAGTCCCTCGACAAAATCCATGGTCAGCTCCTGCCAGGGTGCGGAGGGGATCGGCAGAGGTGCCAGTTTGCCCGCAGGCTTGTGAAGTTCATGCTTGGCTTGCTGGCAAACCTGGCACTGGCGCACGAACTCGTCGACATCTTGTTTCAGTCCTTTCCACTCAAACACCTTCTTGACTCGGTGGTAGGTGGCCATTGCTCCGGAGTGGCCTCCTACGGCGCTGTCATGCATCGCGCTGATGAGCTTTGTGCGCAGAGCGGTGTTTGCGTCGATCCACAGTCGCCCCTGACGCCGAATGAGGCCCAGCTCGTACTCGTCATCATCTAGGTTGTGCAGCGCAAGTTGTTGCAGTCGTTATTGCGCGTCTGGATCAGTGGTGTAGGAATTGGCCACTTCCTGGATCCACGCGGGCTGACACAGAGACAGGGCGTTGGCGCTGAAGGGGCTGCCCACGCGGGAGAGCGCGTCTGCAGCTCCATTGTCGATGTCGCGCTTATACTGAAATTTGAACTGCAGTCCAACCAGCTTTGACATGGCGCAGCGCTGGACGTCAGTCACCAGCTGCTGATCGCCGAGAGAGCACAAACTTTTGTGATCTGTGAGGATTGTGAACGGCCCGCGCTGAAGATAAGCACGCCACTTGTCCACCGCCATCATAACTACCAGGAACTCCTTCTCATATGTTGACAATTTCTGGTTCTTCACTCCCAACGCTTTGCTGTAGTAAGCGATGGGGTGGCCTTCTTGTACCAGCACTGCTCCAATGCCCATGTCGCAAGCGTCCGTCTCAATCATGAAGGGCTTGTTGAAGTCTGGGAGGGCGAGCACTGGCGTGGTTACCATCGCCTGCTTGAGTGTGTCGAAGGCGTGTTGCGCAGTCTCTGGCCACTCGAAACCCTTCTTGGTGAGCTGTAGTGTGAGGGGCTTTGCAATGATCCCATAGTGGGGCACAAACTTGCGATAGTAGCCAGTGAGCCCCAAGAATGCGCGCAACTCTGTTGCATTTGTTGGTGTAGGCCACTGAGCCATGGCTTTTGTCTTCTCTGCATTTGTTGCGACACCTTCCTTGGAGATGACGTGGCCGAGGTAATCGATGTGGTCTTGGGCAAAGGAACACTTCGACATCTTGGCATAGAGCTGGTGCTCGCGGAGCAGGCTCAGGACGAGCCGGAGATGCTCCAGGTGCTCTTCCCACGTCTCACTGAAAACCAGAATGTCGTCAAGAAAAATTATGACAAACTTACGGGTATACTTGGCGAAGATCGCGTTCATCAGGCATTGAAATGTTGCAGGCGCATTTGTCAGGCCGAACGGCATCACGCGGAACTGAAAATGCCCGTGGTGGGTTTTGAATGCAGTCTTGTGTTCGCCCTCTTCCCGCATTCGGATTTGGTGATACCCTGCCCGCAGATCGAGCTTGGAGAAGAAGGCAGCACCGGCTAGCTCGTCGAGGAGCTCATCCACGATCGGCAATGGAAACTTGTTCTTCACCGTGATGTCGTTCAGGCGCCAGTAGTCGACACAGAACCGCCATGTCCCATCCTTTTTCTTCACTAACAGCACGGGAGCAGCATATGGACTGACAGAGTGTGTGATCACGCCGACATCGAGCATTTCCTTCACTTGGCGCTCTATTTCATCTTTCTGCAGTGGCGAGTAACGGTAGGGTCGAGTGTTTGTAGGCTGAGCTCCTTCTTCCAGTGTGATTGCATGATCGTACTGCCTATGAGGGGGCAGACCAATAGGCGTGGTGAAGACATCAGCAAACTCCTCCAATAAGTCGCTGATCGGCGTCTGCGAAGGAACGCGTGACTTGGGTCTGGGGGGTTGCATTTCCACCATGGCCATAGCCCAGATGTCATTGCCTGCAATCAGCTTGCAAAGCTCGGTCGACTGAACGGCCGTGAGCGTTGGTGTTGTCTTGGGTCGAACACCTTGCAGGGTGACCAACTCGCCGTCGTGGAGGAAGGAGATGAACTTCTCTTGCCAATGACATGTCATTGGGCTGTTTTTCTCCAGCCAATCCATGCCTAGAATGCCGTCGTAGGCGCCGGTGTCGAGCTCGTACATCGGCGTTGAAAATGTATGGCCCTGCATCCACCACTTGAGCTCTGGGACTTGGCGCGAGCAGGTGAGGCGATCGTCGTTCCTCACACGCACGTCCAGGGTAGCGATCTCCTGGGTCTCGGCGCCGACACATTCGACGAAGGATTTGTTGACGAAGCTGTGTGTGCTTCTGGAGTCCAGCAGCAACAGCATCACCTGGTTGCCCACCAGGGCGCGGAGACGAATGGTGCTGGGCGCTTCCGAGCCGTCCAGCGCGTGCGCAGAGATGGTGCAGCACTCTGGAAGGGGAACGACATGCTCCGGAGCATCGGGCAAGTCGAGAGCATGCACGGCGTCATCAGTGAGCACCTCGCTAAACGCGCTGACCTGGATCGTAAGCAGCCGCGCTTCCGGATTGCAGCGGTGCTCACGGCTATACCGGTCGCCACACTTGAAGCAGAGACCGTTGGCGCGGTGAAATTCTTTGAGCTGGCGCTTGCGCGCGTAGTCGTTGGGCTGTTGGCGCGGCACGGCGCCCGGGCGTGCTGGTGGCGCTTGTGGCGTTGGAGGTGGGCGGCCTTGGGGTTGTGATCGCGGCCGCGCTCGTGGCGTGATCAACTCATCTTCTTGGATGCGAGCAAGGATGGACGCGCGCGTGATGCTGGTGGGGGCTTGAAGACGCACCGCGGCGCGCAGTTCGTCCTTGAGGCCCAATAAGAACTGTGTGATGAAGAACTTTGGGGACAGCGACGGGTCGAGCGCCAGGAGGTGGTACATGCGGCTGTCGAACACCTGGCGGTACTCGCTGATGGTGCCGCTCTGCCGGAGTTGGAGAAGCTTGTGCATCTCCAGCTCGAACTCGTCAACGCCGAATTCCTCGATGATCGCTGCGCGGAATGCCTCCCAGCCCAGGCCACTGTGTGTTTGACGAAATGCCTGCAGCCAGTGAGCGGCCTAGCCCTCGATGTACAGTGTCGCCGTGGTCACCCAGCTCGACGGCGGTACGCGGTAGAGGTCGAAGTAGGCGCGACAGCGATCCAGCCAGAGGTACGGCGCCGTGCCGTCGAAGCACGGAAAATCGTCCTTGGGCGGCTTGATGTAGGTGTCGTGGTGTTGGTAGAGATGCGGCTCGCTCTGCTGTTGGTGCGGCGCCTGAAGCAGAGGCGGGCGCTGATCGAAGAGGCGTGGGGACGGTGGCGGTCCCTGCTGATGTTGGTGGACCGGTGGAGGGCGTAGAGGCGGCGGCGGGGGTGGAGGTGGGGATGGGTTGAGGACGGCGCCCGGTCCCGATCCGCGCGGCGACGGCGATTTCTCGAGTGCCTTGCGCGTCTCGTCGACGTCGGCCTGGGTGAGATCCACTTGCTTGGACAGCGCCCGCAGATCTTGTGCGACCTGCGCGTTGAAGGCGGCCTGAACCTCGAGTCACTTCTCGCTGTCGGCCTTCTGCTCATCGAGACGCGAGAGGACGGTCTCCATGAGCGCCTTGAGCGTGCTGGTGTTGTCGTCCATGGCGGACAGCATCTGTCTCGTCTGAACCGAGGGTTTGGACGGCGCCGTTGTTCCGCTCCGAGCCGATCCAACCCCGCAGGGGATTTTGGACGATTTGCCGGAGCAACTCGCACCCGCGGCGGTGGGTGTTACGGATCAAGGCCAAGAGATTGTGGAAGTAGCGGAGAAAAATTTCAGCAGGATTCGGTGGCTCTGATAACCAAATGTCACGCCCCGATCTAGATCAGGGAGGACCAGCGACGGTAGGTGAGGGAAAGGCGGATGAGGTTGGCTTGAGAAAGGGGCGAGCGAGAGAGAGACAGAGAGGTGGGAGAGAATATCAGTTTACTGAAAATGACAGCCTGTTTGCTACAATACTCTCGCTGGGTTAAGTACCCCACGTGGCCACGTCCCCTCTGGCTCACTCCGGCCACACACTTACAGCTGTCACACGCACGCACTCATGCTTGGCACAGACAACTGGCAGTCACGCGGTGGTGCCTTGCACTGCCGCGGTGACAGATGGAACCCTAGTGGTCGTCGTCTTCTTTTTCTCCTGCTTCGACCCCCGCCGACTCGGCTGGACGCTGGACGAGATCATCGTCGAGGTTTGTGGCTCTCTGCAGCAATTTACTGCTGTAGAATCTGCTTTTCGTTGCAAAAGGGGCAAACGGATTTATTCACAAGGTTAGCGGCCGCCCGCCGGTGCTATCACCGTGATTGTACTTGAACGGCAAGAACTCACCGCAACTTGGCTAATCCTTGTGCAGGTCCGCTCTACTCCACCCTCCACGTTCTTCCCGTGCAACGTAATGCAAGCTTCCCGAGGAATTTCCTTGTGGTAAGCTTAGCGCGACCATCTAGAGCCGAAGTGCAGGCTACCTGTTCGACCAAATGTCCCAGAAGAAAACCAAAGTCGACGCCGTCCTCGAAGGAGAGACGTATGGCGCCGGCACCGTAACCGCCCATGTTGACCGCCTCAGTGACCTCCCAGATGCGCTCCTCCACAAGGTCATGTCGTTCCTGCGGGCGTGGGAGGTGGCTCGCACCTGTGTGCTCTCGCGCTGCTGGCGCAACCTCTGGGCCTCTGCGCCCTGCCTCGACCTCCGGGTCTGTTGCAAAGCCCGTCACGGCCGGCTACCCATGCGACTCGCCAGGTTCGCCAACCACTTCTTGCTCCTTCGGGAGGTGTCTGCGCCGTTGGACACACTCCGGCTCCTGTCCAGCCCAACGTCGTCTGTTGATGATGATTCAGTGCTGTATAGCCCTAAATATGATGACGACGGGGGGATTACTGCTCTACGGATGTCGACATGTGGATCCGTGCTGCCATAAACCGCAGGGCACGGTTTATCCAGCTTAGTCATCATCCAAGGGATGATGCCTTCTCTGATCTTGAGCACGTGCCGTTCATCTCCTGCCACCTGAAACACCTGCACCTGTCTGGCACAATGTTGCGAGACAAGACACTAATGCAGCTCTCTTCTCAGTGTCCTTCTTTGGAAGTCCTGGAACTCAAGGAGTGCTTCCTGTATGCCCCCCAGATATCATCTGCCTCACTTATTAGTTTGACCATGGTTGAGTGCAGGATCATGGCTGACCTGTCCATCGCTGCTCCAAGCCTTGTATCACTGTGCTGTGTCATACCATACCACCGTGCTCCGTCGTTTGAAAACCTGGGGTCGCTGGCTACCGGCACCATCATGTTAAATGACTCTTTCTTGCATGATAAGTTTGAATACAAGTACAAAGATCGCGATGAAGATGCATTTGAATGTGATAGCGGCGACGACAGTGACTCTGATGATGACCACTGTGATAGTGATACTGATACCGACTTGAGAACTTCTGACATATTGGATGGTGCTAAAGTTTTAGGTGGCCAAAATGTTATCCGCAGCCTTTCAAATGCTACAAGTTTAGACCTGATAGCTGATGCCGGAGAGGTATGCCTATGAATCTGTTGCTGACATATCTCCTTCAGTAATCAATATGCCTATGTTTCCTATGAATCTGTTGCTAATATGGAACGGAGGGAGCAAGTGATATTTTTCAGCTAGTTGTTTCCATTGCCGAAAAAAGTCTGTACTTTACAAACCCTTTTTTTCCACTGGGTGTCCAATGTGCTATGTGCACATTTTGTACTGTTTTTGCACTCAGTGACTCAAGTAACAACAACTGGCTGCATATTAAAAAATCAAAATCACAATAAGTTATGGGTAACAGTTCTAGTGTTAAAAAAAGGGCAACCTGGTGCATGTAGCTCCCGCTTGCGCAGGGTCTAGGGAAGGGTCCGACCACTTTGGGTCTATAGTACGCAGCCTTTCCACGAAAATTGTAATAAAATTGTATAGTGTTATTGTAATAAAATTGTATAAGCAACGGGAATTGGAAATGAGTAACGGTCTAACGATAACATCATTTTACATAACTTAACCAGAAGTAAACATTCACTTCCACGAAAATTTCTAACTACTAGTAGATTCACTGTGTTACTATTCTTTTCTGTCAACTGAACAAATTCACTTTTTGTGCCAAAGTTGATTCTGAATAGGGAATTGGAAATATGCCAAATTTTTAGCAACCTGAAGGTGTTAACCCTTGGTGAATGGTGTATGGCTGCCGACTTCTATCCGTTAGTTTCATTCTTGCAGCATGCTCCAAATCTGGAGTCTCTTTTTCTTAAACTTAAAACGGTATGAGCTTTCTCATATACTGCTTTTATAGTGTGATCGATTAATTTGGACCTATTTCATGACATTTATTTTGTTCTATGAAAAGGATCATGAGGAAATAGAAGACAATATCAGACTGGAGGGTATATCATTTGCTTGCAAGAACCTTACAATGGTCAAGATAAAATGTCCCAAGGATGACGAAAGAGTTCCTGTGTTAACACAAATGTTCATGGCTAATGGCATACCCATCGAAAAGATAGATGTCTGTCACCGTCAGACTCGCAAAACTTGTGAGTTATTATTACCGTATCTTAATGTCATTGTATTTGCAATGCGAGTCTTACATCATTTACTAGCTTGGTTAAAAAATAAGGCCACAAAGGCTGTTGTATTTGCAATGCGGGTCTTAAGTCATTACTATTTTGGTTAAAAGATATGGCTACTTCTTTAATTTGGAGTTTGTTTTTGGAGCATGACCTGAATTTAGACATTGTAAACTTATTCGCTTCGTCAAATATCAACCAGGTCATCAATCCTTGGCCCTAAGGCGTGGATATGCTGCTTTGTAGGAACTGCAATTTCAGCGGTATCACCGGTATGATTTTACCTCTGATTACATAGCTTTTCGTTTACTGTAAGGTATACAAGTCCTATCTGGTAGTTGCAATCATCACTTTGTACTTAACATAGATTTGAGGGATTAGAAACTAGCTAATACATTTCAAAATAGTTGGCATCTTTGTCTGTGCACATTCTCCAACGTTAGCATCTTTGTCTGTGCATGTTTTCTAAAGTTATACTTTCACCTCTTTTTCCGTGCATGTTTCTGAATCTATAAATGACAAGGAAATGCAATCCTGCAAGAATAGCAAAACTGTTGTGACAAATCTAACAACACCATTTAAATATACCCAAACTGAACAACTAGAAATAATTTATTTATAAAGTATACTTAAATTTGACTAGCAAGATAAAGAATGCCAGGTAATTTACTTATAAAGTATACCCAAGCCATGCTTCCCTCGACAAAGGTCGCAGTGTGTTCTACTGGAATACTGCTGACAACAAGAAAAAGTATAGGATGGTGAAATGGAAACTTATGTGTAAACCCAAAAACCTTGTGGGGGGAGGGGGGGGGGGTATCAATACCTCGACGATGAACAAGTACCTAATTATGAAGTGGTGGTGGCGCATTTTCTCTGAACCTGAGGATAAATACTTCCCAAACTCCACACCTTTTATGTCCTCTGCTCATAATGGCTCGCAATTCTGGATGTCTGTCCACAAGGTGCGTGATGAATTCAGAAGCCTTCTGAAATTTGTGGTGGGAGATGGGGCTTCCACCCATTTCTGGCTTGATTGGTGATTGGTGACGGCCCCCTCTCTCAGTCCTTCCCTGTTATTTTTTTCTTATGTTTCCAATCAGTCCACCTCCATTGCGGAGCTTGCTGCTTGCAACTGGGACCTTGGCTTCCGGCATGCTTTCTCTCCTACAAAGTTGGCCAACTGGCACGACCTCACTGCCTTGTTCCCGGTGCTGTCGGGTTCACCCGATCGGCTTGTTTGGCCCCACTTCACCTTGGGAAAATTCTTAAGTCTTTATACTCTATAAGCTCATCTCTGGGAGGCAGGACTCTCATTTTAAGGCTATGTAGCGAGCATGCATTCTGCTTAAATAATAATAAAATCTTTGGCAGGCTATTAGACTCAAACTTCCAGCTAGTGACCAAATTCTTGAACGCGGCGGCAACACTAACGCAACTTGCTCTCTTTGTTGAGAGACAGAAGACACTGAACACATCTTCAAATGTGCCTTATCCAGATTTGGCTGGAGTTGTGTTTGATCATGGTTGAACTGCAACTGGAACCCATCGAGGTTCTCAGATCTTTTTAACTTAGTCAAGTACCTCTCGGCCCAGTTTGTTTGTGTTTTCTGGATCGCCCAGTTTGTTCGTGATTTCTGGATCGTTTTGCTGCTTTTGCCTAGTGTTTTTGGACCACTCGAAATAAATTTACAAAGCATATATTTCCTAACCGTCAGCCTCATCGCTTGTTTAAAATGGTTGCCCTTTTACAGCAATGGAAGCCATTGGCTAAGGCTGGCCTCGCTCATTTCCAAGATCCGGGTGCCTTCTCACTCTGTCCCCGCCTCCCCTGCGCTGGTGTCTTCTGGAGCTGGAGGGTAGATCCTTCTTTACCTGGTTTTTGCTGGCCTGCGTGCCATGGTTGCCTCGTTGGCTGCATGGATCGGTTTGAACCTCTTCCGCCTTTTTTGTAAGCTTGTTGGGCTTTATTTATAAAGTCGGGCAATCTGACTTTCCTCTAAAAAGTATAGACAAAAGAAGATGTTTTTACATGAGTATAGTTCGCGGGAACAGCTTTATCTACTACCACTATAAAAGGAAGAGAGGGGCAGATCCAAATAATCAGAACCATCCATTGGCAAGATCTAATGGCCCTTAATCCTTCTGTGTTTAACGCTCCAAACCACGCATTAAGCTATCGCTAACCCAGCCCACGCCGCCGTTTAAAAACAAAAACAAAACCGCCCGCACGACCTATCGCCCACTCTCGCCCACTCCTTCTCCCGCACCCTTCGCCGCCCCGCCCCGCGTCCTTCGCCGCCCACCGCTAGAGCCATCGCGGGTATAGCCGGAGCCGCGCCCCGCTCCCCGCGCCCTTCGCCGCCCGCCGCTGGAGCCGCCGTGGGTA